TATTCCATTATTCGATCTGGAATGTCACAGATGTAGAGTATCGAAGTGAAGTATCCTACAAACTCATAAGTAGTCCTAGCACAAACTCGTTTTGAGATTTTGAGACATCTGGAATAGTTTGCATTCTTCCTGGAATAGTTTGCATCGTTCCTGGAATATCCTAAAACAAAATTGGATTAGAATTATGCTTTCATAATTGTGCCATATAGTATTCATTGTGAAATACACATATGAGAACATCATGGGTCTATTCTTCCAAGAGCACTGATCCATTAAAACAAAGAATGTGGCTTTCCTTCAGTGCATGAATAATTTGGAAAAGAACTGGTATAAAACCACTGTTTATACCTAACTCTTGAAGGCGACCCCCTCCTTTGTAGGGAGGCATTACGAACGCCAAAGTTGATACACTCCCCTCGTAAGGGTACCTGACGTGATTCTATACACTCACATACATGAGTGTCGATTGATTTCTCGACTGTATGAATGAAATAATTAGTAAATCGATAAAAGTTTTGTTTTAACGAAGTAATGTTCGAAAAAGAATAGAACTCTGATCTATATTTTAGGAATGACAAATCTAATATTTGAGAAAACTTATCTTAAAAAATCTCCATATTCCATTATTCGAACTGGAATGTCACAGATGTAGAGTATCGAAGTGAGGTATCCTACAAACTTATAAGTAGTCCTAGCACAAACTCGTTTTGAGATTTTGAGACATCTGGAATAGTTTGCATTCTTCCTGAAATAGTTTGCATCGTTCCTGGAATATCCTAAAACAAAATTGGATTAGAATTATGCTTTCATAATTGTGCCATATAGTATTCATTGTGAAATACACATATGAGAACATCATGGGTCTATTCTTCCAAGAGCACTGATCCATTAAAACAAAGAATGTGGCTTTCCTTCAGTGCATGAATAATTTGGAAAAGAACTGGTATAAAACCACTGTTTATACCTAACTCTTGAAGGCGACACCCTCCTTTGTAGAGAGGCATTACGAACGCCAAAGTTGATACACTCCCCTCGTAAGGGTACCTGACGTAATTCCATACACTCACATACATGAATGTCGATTGATTTCTCGACTGTATGAATGAAATAATTAGTGAATTGATAAAAGTTTTGTTTCAACGAAGTAGTGTTCGAAGAAGAATAGAACTCTGATCTACATTTTAGGAATAACAAATTTAATGTTTGAGAGAACTTATCTTGGAAATCTCCATATTTCATTGATCGATCTGGAATGGCACAGATGTAGAGTATCAAAGTGAAGTGTCCTACAAACTCATGAGTAGTCCTTGCAAAAACTCGTTTCGAGATTTTGAGACATCTGGAATAGTTTGCATTCTTCCTGGAATAGTTTGCATCGTTCCTGGAATATCCTAAAACAAAATTGGATTAGAATTATGCTTTCATAATTGTGCCATATAGTATTCATTGTGAAATACACATATGAGAACATCATGGGTCTATTCTTCCAAGAGCACTGATCCATTAAAACAAAGAATGTGGCTTTCCTTCAGTGCATGAATAATTTGGAAAAGAACTGGTATAAAACCACTGTTTATACCTAACTCTTGAAGGCGACACCCTCCTTTGTAGAGAGGCATTACGAACGCCAAAGTTGATACACTCCCCTCGTAAGGGTACCTGACGTGATTCCATACACTCACATACATGAATGTCGATTGATTTTTCGACTGTATGAATGAAATAATTAGTGAATCGATAAAAGTTTTGTTTTAACGAAGAAGTGTTCGAAGAAGAATAGAACTCTGATCTACATTTTAGGAATAACAAATTTAATGTTTGAGAGAACTTATCTTGGAAATCTCCATATTTCATTGATCGATCTGGAATGGCACAGATGTAGAGTATCAAAGTGAAGTGTCCTACAAACTCATGAGTAGTCCTTGCAAAAACTCGTTTCGAGATTTTGAGACATCTGGAATAGTTTGCATTCTTCCTGGAATAGTTTGTATCGTTCCTGGAATATCCTAAAACAAAATTGGATTAGAATTATGCTTTCATAATTGTGCCATATAGTATTCATTGTGAAATACACATATGAGAACATCATGGGTCTATTCTTCCAAGAGCACTGATCCATTAAAACAAAGAATGTGGCTTTCCTTCAGTGCATGAATAATTTGGAAAAGAACTGGTATAAAACCACTGTTTATACCTAACTCTTGAAGGCGACACCCTCCTTTGTAGAGAGGCATTACGAACGCCAAAGTTGATACACTCCCCTCGTAAGGGTACCTGACGTGATTCCATACACTCACATACAAGAATGTCGATTGATTTCTCGACTGTATGAATGAAATGATTAGTGAATCGATAAAAGTTTTGTTTTAACGAAGTAATGTTCGAAATAGAATAGAACTCTGATCTATATTTTAGGAATGACAAATCTAATGTTTGAGAAAACTTATCTTAAAAGATCTCCATATTCCATTATTCTATCTGGAATGTCACAGATGTAGAGTATCGAAGTAAAGTATCCTACAAACTCATAAGTAGTCCTAGCACAAACTCGTTTTGAGATTTTGAGACATCTGGAATAGTTTGCATTCTTCCTGGAATAGTTTGCATCGTTCCTGGAATATCCTAAAACAAAATTGGATTAGAATTATGCTTTCATAATTGTGCCATATAGTATTCATTGTGAAATACACACATGAGAACATCATGGGTCTATTCTTCCAAGAGCACTGATCCATTAAAACAAAGAATGTGGCTTTCCTTCAGTGCATGAATAATTTGGAAAAGAACTGGTATAAAACCACTGTTTATACCTAACTCTTGAAGGCGACACCCTCCTTTGTAGAGAGGCATTACGAACGCCAAAGTTGATACACTCCCCTCGTAAGGGTACCTGACGTGATTCCATACACTCACATACATGAATGTCGATTGATTTCTCGACTGTATGAATGAAATGATTAGTAAATCGATAAAAGTTTTGTTTTAACGAAGTAATGTTCGAGAAAGAATAGAACTCTGATCTATATTTTAGGAATGACAAATCTAATGTTTGAGAAAACTTATCTTAAAAGATCTCCATATTCCATTATTCGATCTGGATTGTCACAGATGTAGAGTATCGAAGTGAAGTATCCTACAAACTCATAAGTAGTCCTAGCACAAACTCGTTTTGAGATTTTGAGACATCTGGAATAGTTTGCATTCTTCCTGGAATAGTTTGCATCGTTCCTGGAATATCCTAAAATAAAATTGGATTAGAATTATGCTTTCATAATTGTGCCATATAGTATTCATTGTGAAATACACACATGAGAACATCATGGGTCTATTCTTCCAAGAGCACTGATCCATTAAAACAAAGAATGTGGCTTTCCTTCAGTGCATGAATAATTTGGAAAAGAACTGGTATAAAACCACTGTTTATACCTAACTCTTGAAGGCGACACCCTCCTTTGTAGAGAGGCATTACGAACGCCAAAGTTGATACACTCCCCTCGTAAGGGTACCTGACGTGATTCTATACACTCACATACATGAATGTCGATTGATTCCTCGACTGTATGAATGAAATAATTAGTAAATCGATAAAAGTTTTGTTTTAACGAAGTAATGTTCGAAAAAGAATAGAACTCTGATCTATATTTTAGGAATGACAAATCTAATATTTGAGAAAACTTATCTTGAAAAATCTCCATATTCCATTATTCGAACTGGAATGTCACAGATGTAGAGTATCGAAGTAAAGTATCCTACAAACTTATAAGTAGTCCTAGCACAAACTCGTTTTGAGATTTTGAGACATCTGGAATAGTTTGCATTCTTCCTGGAATAGTTTGCATCGTTCCTGGAATATCCTAAAACAAAATTGGATTAGAATTATGCTTTCATAATTGTGCCATATAGTATTCATTGTGAAATACACATATGAGAACATCATGGGTCTATTCTTCCAAGAGCACTGATCCATTAAAACAAAGAATGTGGCTTTCCTTCAGTGCATGAATAATTTGGAAAAGAACTGGTATAAAACCACTGTTTATACCTAACTCTTGAAGGCGACACCCTCCTTTGTAGAGAGGCATTACGAACGCCAAAGTTGATACACTCCCCTCGTAAGGGTACCTGACGTGATTCCATACACTCACATACATGAATGTCGATTGATATCTCGACTGTATGAATGAAATAATTAGTGAATCGATAAAAGTTTTGTTTTAACGAAGTAGTGTTCGAAGAAGAATAGAACTCTGATCTACATTTTAGGAATGACAAATTTAATGTTTGAGAGAACTTATCTTGGAAATCTCCATATTTCATTGATCGATCTGGAATGGCACAGATGTAGAGTATCAAAGTGAAGTGTCCTACAAACTCATGAGTAGTCCTTGCAAAAACTCGTTTCGCGATTTTGAGACATCTGGAATAGTTTGCATTCTTCCTGGAATAGTTTGCATCGTTCCTGGAATATCCTAAAACAAAATTGGATTAGAATTATGCTTTCATAATTGTGCCATATAGTATTCATTGTGAAATACACATATGAGAACATCATGGGTCTATTCTTCCAAGAGCACTGATCCATTAAAACAAAGAATGTGGCTTTCCTTCAGTGCATGAATAATTTGGAAAAGAACTGGTATAAAACCACTGTTTATACCTAACTCTTGAAGGCGACACCCTCCTTTGTAGAGAGGCATTACGAACGCCAAAGTTGATACACTCCCCTCGTAAGGGTACCTGACGTGATTCCATACACTCACATACATGAATGTCGATTGATTTCTCGACTGTATGAATGAAATAATTAGTAAATCGATAAAAGTTTTGTTTTAACGAAGTGATGTTCGAAAAAGAATAGAACTCTGATCTATATTTTAGGAATGACAAATCTAATGTTTGAGAAAACTTATCTTAAAAGATCTCCATATTCCATTATTCGATCTGGAATGTCACAGATGTAGAGTATCGAAGTGAAGTATCCTACAAACTCATAAGTAGTCCTAGCACAAACTCGCTTTGAGATTTTGAGACATCTGGAATAGTTTGCATTCTTCCTGGAATAGTTTGCATCGTTCCTGGAATATCCTAAAACAAAATTGGATTAGAATTATGCTTTCATAATTGTGCCATATAGTATTCATTGTGAAATACACATATGAGAACATCATGGGTCTATTCTTCCAAGAGCACTGATCCATTCAAACAAAGAATGTGGCTTTCCTTCAGTGCATGAATAATTTGGAAAAGAACTGGTATAAAACCACTGTTTATACCTAACTCTTGAAGGCGACACCCTCCTTTGTAGAGAGGCATTACGAACGCCAAAGTTGATACACTCCCCTCGTAAGGGTACCTGACGTGATTCCATACACTCACATACATGAATGTCGATTGATTTCTCGACTGTATGAATGAAATAATTAGTAAATCGATAAAAGTTTTGTTTTAACGAAGTGATGTTCGAAAAAGAATAGAACTCTGATCTATATTTTAGGAATGACAAATCTAATGTTTGAGAAAACTTATCTTAAAAGATCTCCATATTCCATTATTCGATCTGGAATGTCACAGATGTAGAGTATCGAAGTGAAGTATCCTACAAACTCATAAGTAGTCCTAGCACAAACTCGTTTTGAGATTTTGAGACATCTGGAATAGTTTGCATTCTTCCTGGAATAGTTTGCATCGTTCCTGGAATATCCTAAAACAAAATTGGATTAGAATTATGCTTTCATAATTGTGCCATATAGTATTCATTGTGAAATACACATATGAGAACATCATGGGTCTATTCTTCCAACAGCACTGATCCATTAAAACAAAGAATGTGGCTTTCCTTCAGTGCATGAATAATTTGGAAAAGAACTGGTATAAAACCACTGTTTATACCTAACTCTTGAAGGCGACACCCTCCTTTGTAGAGAGGCATTACGAACGCCAAAGTTGATACACTTCCCTCGTAAGGGTACCTGACGTGATTCCATACACTCACATACATGAATGTCGATTGATTTCTCGACTGTATGAATGAAATAATTAGTAAATCGGTAAAAGTTTTGTTTTAACGAAGTGATGTTCGAGAAAGAATAGAACTCTGATCTATATTTTAGGAATGACAAATCTAATGTTTGAGAAAACTTATCTTAAAAGATCTCCATATTCCATTATTCGATCTGGAATGTCACAGATGTAGAGTATCGAAGTGAAGTATCCTACAAACTCATAAGTAGTCCTAGCACAAACTCGTTTTGAGATTTTGAGACATCTGGAATAGTTTGCATTCTTCCTGGAATAGTTTGCATCGTTCCTGGAATATCCTAAAACAAAATTGGATTAGAATTATGCTTTCATAATTGTGCCATATAGTATTCATTGTGAAATACACATATGAGAACATCATGGGTCTATTCTTCCAAGAGCACTGATCCATTAAAACAAAGAATGTGGCTTTCCTTCAGTGCATGAATAATTTGGAAAAGAACTGGTATAAAACCACTGTTTATACCTAACTCTTGAAGGCGACACCCTCCTTTGTAGAGAGGCATTACGAACGCCAAAGTTGATACACTCCCCTCGTAAGGGTACCTGACGTGATTCCATACACTCACATACATGAATGTCGATTGATTTCTCGACTGTATGAATGAAATAATTAGTGAATCGATAAAAGTTTTGTTTTAACGAAGTAGTGTTCGAAGAAGAATAGAACTCTGATCTACATTTTAGGAATGACAAATTTAATGTTTGAGGGAACTTATCTTGGAAATCTCCATATTTCATTGATCGATCTGGAATGGCACAGATGTAGAGTATCAAAGTGAAGTATCCTACAAACTCATGAGTAGTCCTTGCAAAAACTCGTTTCGAGATTTTGAGACATCTGGAATAGTTTGCATTCTTCCTGGAATAGTTTGCATCGTTCCTGGAATATCCTAAAACAAAATTGGATTAGAATTATGCTTTCATAATTGTGCCATATAGTATTCATTGTGAAATACACATATGAGAACATCATGGGTCTATTCTTCCAAGAGCACTGATCCATTAAAACAAAGAATGTGGCTTTCCTTCAGTGCATGAATAATTTGGAAAAGAACTGGTATAAAACCACTGTTTATACCTAACTCTTGAAGGCGACACCCTCCTTTGTAGAGAGGCATTACGAACGCCAAAACTGATACACTCCCCTCGTAAGGGTACCTGACGTGATCCCATACACTCACATACATGAATGTCGATTGATTTCTCGACTGTATGAATGAAATAATTAGTGAATCGATAAAAGTTTTGTTTTAACGAAGTAGTGTTCGAAGAAGAATAGAACTCTGATCTACATTTTAGGAATGACAAATTTAATGTTTGAGAGAACTTATCTTAAAAGATCTCCATATTCCATTATTCGATCTGGAATGTCACAGATGTAGAGTATCAAAGTGAAGTGTCCTACAAACTCATGAGTAGTCCTTGCAAAAACTCGTTTCGAGATTTTGAGACATCTGGAATAGTTTGCATTCTTCCTGGAATAGTTTGCATCGTTCCTGGAATATCCTAAAACAAAATTGGATTAGAATTATGCTTTCATAATTGTGCCATATAGTATTCACTGTGAAATACACATATGAGAACATCATGGGTCTATTCTTCCAAGAGCACTGATCCATTAAAACAAAGAATGTGGCTTTCCTTCAGTGCATGAATAATTTGGAAAACAACTGGTATAAAACCACTGTTTATACCTAACTCTTGAAGGCGACACCCTCCTTTGTAGAGAGGCATTACGAACGCCAAAGTTGATATACTTTCCTCGTAAGGGTATCTGACGTGATTCCTTACACTCACATACATGAATTTCGATTGATTTCTCGACTGTATGAATGAAATAATCAGTAAATCGATAAAAGTCTTTTTTCAACGAAGCACTGTTCGAAAAAGAATAGAACTCTGATCTATATTTCAGGAATGACAAATTCTATGTTTGAGAAAACTTATCTTGGAAATTTCCATATTCCATTAATTCTGAAATGGCACAGATGTAGAGTATCGAAGTGAAGTGTCCTACATACGGATAAAGAGTCCCTGCGAAAACCTGTTCTGAGTTCTCGTGACATCTGGAATAGTTGGCATTGTTCCTGGAATGTCCTGAACAAATTGAATTAGAATTATTCTTTCCTAGTTGTGCCATATAGTATTCATTATTATATACACATATGAGGAAATCGTAGGTCTACTCTTATTAGAGCACTGATTTATCAAAACAAAGAATGTGGTTTTGCTTGAATGCATGAATAATTTGGAAAAGAACTGGTATAAAACAACTAACTGACGTGATTCCATACTTCAACATACATGAATGTCGATTGATATTTCGACTGTATGAATTAAATAATTAGTAAATCGATAAAAGTATTTTTTCTCGAAAAATAATAGGACTCTGATCTATATTCGAGGAATTACAAATTCAATGTTGAGAAAACCTATCTTGAAAATCTCCATATTTTATTAATCTGTCATCATCACAGGTCGGTTTCCGCTTCTGCGCGTTTTTCCGTTAGGCTTGAATGGTCGACTTTTTAACACGTTGCTTCTTCGATCTAAAACATACCTAATTTCAAATCTCAAATTTCAGATAAATTGGGAAATGAAATTGTGGAACTTACAGGACATCGGGAGAGTGGATCCTTGAGCACGATAACCCACTACACTGTATTATCACTAACCAAACCGATTTTTTACGCCCCGACACGTATTTTGCTAACGATGTTAGCATCTTCAGGAGAAGATTGAATTTTAATCTCCTCTTTAGGAGAGTGGGATATGAAATTAAAATACAATAATTCAAAAAATTTACTGAGTTATCATGATAACGTCGATTCCATCAATGGTTTTCCTCACTGCAGCCATGGTGTATTTTTATGGGTTGCCGGAAATATGATCGAAAACTCAAATGATCAAAAATCAGTTGATCGAAATATCAATTGATCGAATAACATTTTGATCGAACTTATAACATAAAAGAAACACATTTGATGGAATCCGTCATTCCTTCAAATGCCTAGAGTCATTTCACGTATTGCAGGCAAGCAGCGTAATAGCGTTTTCAGCAGTTACACTGTTTTCCGGAAAGTTGAGGAAAGAAAATATCCTTTCTGCATAAGCATAAGAAAAACTACTTTTCCTAAGTAATCTAACCTAACTCGGCCTTAATGAACCTTCTTCCTGGAAAGTATATTTTTAGGAAAATCACTTGGGAGAACAAAAAAGACTACTGTTTCTAAACAACCTAACCTGACTAGGCCTAAATGAACCTTCTTTACGTAATTACACACATAAAAATATCAATCTTATATCAACTTTTCTCTTCCACGTTGACCATTTATTACCGAATTTTTTCAAAAACCGCAACATTGTTTAAACGATGTCTTGTCTCTGTAACCGATTGTGATATTATTTCTGACATATTATGTTGATCACTATAGTTTTACTTGAGGTTATATTTCTCACAGCTTCTCACAATAAAATCCTTCATATCAATGAATTCCTGGAATCTAAACAAATGATTATATTCGATCAAAATGTAGTTCGATCATTTGATATTTTGTTCAAATGATATTTTGATAAATTGATTTTCGTCATTTGATTCTTCGATCATTGGATACCTTGAGTATTATATTGTGAAATTTTTGTTTTTGAAAATCTATAGACGGGTTTCAATTTAGGAGGGTGTTGCGGGTTGAAATCGCTCACACTGTATATAGTTTGCTGATGTTTCCTAAACCAATTTTTCACTTATTCAACATTGAATCAAAGTTTCTAATAATATATAGACGGCTATGGACACAACAGTAATGTCATGGAAACATACCAGGCATTTTTTATAATCTCTTGTCAGTTTTTCGATAAAAATGGGTTATTCCGTAGGGAAAGAAAGAGATTGTGAGATTATATTATGAAAATATTGCAAAAATGTTAGTAGTGCAGCAAATATTTAGTCGAAAACGGCTAAAGGGAACATTGGCAAACTATACAGAGAAGTCATGGAAACCATCCATCCTTCTCAAAGTGGTCCAGATTTTTTCAAAGGAAAA